AATAAAAAAAAACTGTCAACCTCTAAAATTCAAAAGTTTCTTTCAACTGCTAAAAAACAAAAAAAAATAGTAATAATAATAATGAAATAAAAAGATATATATGAAGTAAGGAAACACATCAATAGTCCGATTTAATGGATCCTTCAGCAACTTCGACGTCGATATCAACATTCTTAATGTCACATGGCACCCTTCTGGTCCTAGAGCCTCGAAGACAAACCAACGCAGATCTCAAGAGTGCCAATGAGGTTCTGGTTCTGATCCATGAGATCATAATAATAATAATAATAATAATAATAATAATAATAATAATAATAATAATTACTCACTTGAATAAGTCTCGACTCACCAGCGACTTTAAGTTCCACCTCCTTTTCAGTGCACCCCTTGCTGTTTCTTGCCTGGCAGCTATAATTCCCACGGACATCTGGCCACCGTAAAGTCAGATTACAGGTTTTAACCGGGCTCAGTTTTCCGTTCGTGCAGTTAGCCATTCCCAGGTAAATTACGTTGACATACCAGTTTATTTCGTATGGCTGGAATATGTAGCCTGCTCTAGGGCCCTTTGCATTGCATGTTAGAGTAACATCCGACCCTTTTTCCACAAGGTAAGACTGAGGATTTTCTGAATGCCAATTGTCGTCATGCATAGTGGAAGAGACACGCACTTCTGGAGAACCTTACATATATGTAAAATAATAATTAAAAATAATCACTTCTTTTGTGTACTCTCTACTTTCGCATTTAGAAAGCATTTGTGCCCTTAACGGCCAAATGAATTTCAATTATTTCAATGGATAATTTTCTAATTGCGGGCGACAAAAGAGGCCCGCCACCTATTCTCGGTCAGCGGCACTTTTTCAACTGTATAGGCGGATTCTTTCTCGATCTCTTCACATTCCTGTGTTGTACTGACTAATATGCATGGTATGAATCGTGCGTGGTCTCGAAGGTCCTGGTGCTGAGTTCAAAGGCCCTTCTGATGTCACAGTAATCACATGAAGGCACATGCAAGTGATGCAACAATCATTATTATACATTCGATTCGCAAGCACAGGTAATTCAGGTACAAAAGTACTGCACTAGATGGGAGACTTTTCGATTCGCCTTGTGGCCCTGGAATCTATTTACCTAGGAGGATAAAAGTAGAGCCTGATCTCAGCTTACTGCGGGACAAGTTTTCGGTAAGATACGAGTGCTAACAAAGTCTAGAAATCGATGAAAATTATATTAAAATTTTATTCACGTTTCACTACAGTGAATGGTTTTTCAGGGTGTTTATATTTTTATACGTTTTTTCAAGCATGTTACGTCGCCTGTCATCCGAAAGCTTTAATAAGCTTTAAACTCCAGTGGTAATTTAAGCTGTTTCATTATTTTGTATCGCATATTCAACGGCCTTTGGTCATTGAACACGGATTGAATATTCGATTGAATAACAAGACTTCGTGTATGATTGAATACCCGCATTACTTGTGTCACGCGTTACTGTTTCTAAGTATCTTTGCCGGCGAACAAGATACAAACGTCTTTCCTCGCTAATCGCTCCAGAAATATTTCAGGCTAATCGTATCTATAAAATCAACTGCAAATGAAATCGTTGAATTAAATAATTATATGAGTCTTGTTTACTCTGTTGTTGACTCCAGTTTTCATGACCCGCAGGGAAAGGCATTCACTTTAATTACATATCAAAGCGGTTTCGCCCGCCCAATGGCTACTGCTAGTTTGATAGAATTTACCGTCCTAGATGTGCTTGTTACTTCAAAAGTCGATCGGCATTCGTTTTGGTAACCGAGCGTTCTCCTCGAATCCCTGAGGCGCGGGGGATAAGCGCGCAGTGTTGGTCGTAACAAGGACCTGGGTGGGAAACTCTACGATGGTTTCTAGGAGATTTGAGCTATTGGCCAATCGTAGAGCCGAACAGACGATAGCAATCGTTTTTCAAATTCGTGTTGGGCTGGTAAAATCAAAGGGGCCTTTCCAGCCGTCGGACAGTGCTAAAAATATCACATTGGTGCTACAAATGTTTTCAACGTTTCCAGATCTTAGTGCGAGATTAACGGTTCCCATATCGTTTACCGCTTGCATGAAACGCAAAATCATCAACTGAACCAGAAAAGCAGCAGGTCTACTCGCAGAATAGAAGAATTTTGTTGTTATTTAGTAAAAGCCGATGAGAGAGATTTTTAGTTCTAATTATTAAAATCCCTGCGGAGTCACGGAAGCTGCTGCTCGCGTTTCTAAAGGAAATTTACACACATGCATGGCGGGTGGGATTACTTCTTGTTTAATATTAAAGCTTGACATTCGATGTTTTCATGGCTAGGATATATAGAACAAATAATGATTTGTCCAAATACATCAAAGCCAAATATTCTTTACGGGTTTATTTCCAGCTGTCTCGTTTGTGCGTTTTTTTTTTGATATGATTATGGAAATTTTACCTGTTCTTTCCTGAACTGCAAAAGCAGTCTCACATAGGATTGAAGTCTGAGAAATATTGTCCTAGAGGCAAAATAATGTTTTCGCGGTACCCTGACTTTGTGTTGTTACGATATGATGTGATTTTGAAGGCACGTGACCCAGGTTGTCACGCAGAATGTAATCCGTGAGACCCACAGTAGCCTCTTTCAGGCATCCAGACAGTGGAGGGCGGTGCGAAATAAGAGAGCGGGAAAAATACATCTGTTCGCGTTGTCTCCACGATCTAAACGCCTGGAACAGGCTAGACTACCAGGAGCGGGCGCCCGTTGCTTCCTTATAAGCAGATGGACATAGATTAACTTACCACCATTTGAGACTTTGGAGCAGTGCTGGCCGCTGCTTGTCGTCCATAAGCAACACATAACAAGCCAAAGCATTTCATAACTTCGCAGCGGCAAATGGAAGCTGGCCATTATAAATCATCAAAAGTTCTAGTAGAAAAAGAAAAAAACAAAGGAGGATAAAATCAGAGAGGCCCCAATTATTAGCACTGACTGTCTTTTCGAAAAGGAAGTGTAAGGCCCCGTATATATTAAGAAAAATTTTTCCTGGTAATAGGGTCACTCGCATATCCAAACCAACGTTTCCTACCGTTCCTTACAAAACTTGGCTGACCGTTTACAAGAGATCGAAACAAAAAGTTTAATTTGCTCGACGCCGGGTAAACTCCGGGAAATGGAGTCAACTTTTTTATCATATAAACGCTAGCTATAAAGTTGACTCGGTTGGGAGTCAGGGTGACCCTCTTTCCCGACACAACTTAAGGTGTTTCAGAGACCATACCGATATGCTTCAATCGCCTTATAAGTGATTTTATCGCTTTAAGATTTTAACCACTTACTGACTTTGGATTGAAGTTTACTAAAACGTAGATTTAAGTAAAATTTATATCACTATGACAACAATAAACAAAAAAATTGAAATCGATAGCAAGCACAAGAACCCTAACAACCTCCACAACCACTAGAATCATCAACACAACGAACAAAGAACGACTGCCAAAACAACCAACACACAAACCGAACCCACACAATTAACAGAACCATTATAAATCAACACATTACCACCATAACCAACTCATCCACTTCAACCAACACAACCACCACAAACAGCACAACCATCACAACATTCAGCAACCATCACAACACTCAGCACAATCCTCACAACCGCCACAACAACCACAACTCCCACGACCTCCACAAAAAAGACAACCTACACAACCTTTACAACCACCATCACCATCAACACAACACTCACAACCACCCCAACCACAATAACATTCACAGCCTCCACAACCAAACACAACCCTCACAACCATTACAATTCTCATAGCCTCCAGAACCAACACAACTCCCTTAACCATCGCAACTCTTACAAACTCTACAACAAACACAACCAGCACAATTCCCACAAACAGCACAATTTCCACAACCACCACAACCAGCACAACTCCCACAACCATCACAACTCCAACAACCAAAACGCAACAAACCAGCACAACCACCGCAGCCCTCAGAACCAACACATCCGACACAAATCTCACAACCCGGCAACACAACCATCACAACTAAGCACATCTTCTACAAATAACACAACCGACACATCCCTCGCAGCCTCCACGACCAAAACAACCCTTACCTTTGTTTCAGTGATACTAGATAGAATGCTGAATTTAGGATACATGTAAGATAAAGGAATTTGAATGAATTCTGATAGTTTGCCCTCATTAAACGTCATTTATCAGACTGATAAAGAGATTAAGGGAACCTCGACCTTAACCCCCAAGAAGTACCAGAAACTGTTGACATTTTAATGCTACTTAGTAGTAGTAGGTGGAGAGTTTAATTTGCAAGTGGATAAAGGGAATGTCCAAGCGTATAAGTGGGACTTCCCTGGCGCGGGAAGTCTGGAGTCATGTGACTTGACAGCAGGTGTGATCGTGTTGTGTTTGAGAGAGTACTGTTGATCTAAAGTAGTGCTTGAGTTTCAAGGTTACAGTTACAGTATAACTCAAACCCTGCTCGATTTCCTTTTGATGAAAGGAAACTGTTATACATAACAAACTAGGACATCTTTTGTTTTCTAGGGTGTGTTATATACTTTTTTCTTTAACAACACTCTGTGAAGGCTCTGGTAGTAGGAGGGCTTGTGGTGGTTTTGAGGGTGCGCTAGTTGAGGGAATTGTATTGTTTGTTTTGGTTGTGATGTTTGCGTTGGTCGAAGGTTGAGTTGGTTGTGGAAGTTGTGAAGGTTGTGGTGGTTGTGTAGCTTGTGGAGGGTGTGTTGGTTGTGGAGGGTGACTAGGGTGACTTGGGTGTCAAAGGTGACTACACTTATGATCGAGAGTTAGAGGTTGCTCTTGACCGAGAAATACATCGAAAAATAGTTGAACATAGCCCTACATAGCCATACATAGCCCTAAGAACAAGTAGATCCTACTAATCAACAACGGATCCAAGTAATTTCTTACTTGAAGCCATCTCTTGCCAACATGGATGCTGGTAAACTTAATGGTGCATCGTAAAGAATTAGTAAAACTTGTGAGGGTTGCGGTGGTTGTGGAGGGTGTGTTGGTTATGTTGGTTGTGGAGGGTGTGTTGGTTGTGGAGCTTGTGTTAGTTGTGGAGGTCGTAAGGGTTATGCTGGTTATAATGGTTGTGGAGGATGGTGGTTGTTTTGATTATTGAGATTGTCTGGTTGTGGAGGCTGTGAGGGTTGTGTTGGTTGTAATGGTAGTGGAGGGTGTGTTGGTTGTGGAGTTAGTGAACGTTGTGCTAGTTGTACGGGTTGTGTTGGTTGTGGTGTTTGGGTTTTGTTTGTGGTTGTGTTGGTGGTGGTATTTAGGTCGGTTATGGAGTTTTTGCTGGTTGTGAGATTAAGGTGGTAATGTGGGAATTGTGTTTTTCGTTTTGGTGGTAGAGGTTCTGAAAGCTGTGATTATAGGTGTCGAGGTTTTGGTGGTTGTGAGGGTTGGGTGTGCTGATTGTGGAGGTTGGGAGGGTTGAGGTGCTTGTGGTAGTTGGGAGGGTTAAGGTGGTTTTATACAATTATGTGAATGCTACACACCCTGTGATTGGTCGTTGCCCAAGATCTATTAGAGTACAAATGCATGGATGATGGTTTCTTTGTTTTGTTCAACATGGCGCGCGGTTTTGAAAATGTTTTGTGAGATTATTTTGGCTTAAGCAAGTGATTGCTTTGAAAAAAGTTAAGCAAGAGCTATTTACAAAGAAGAAAAAAAGAGAAACAGAGAGAAAAGGGCTCTTAACAACTTGAGAATGCCCAAAGTACAAGAAATCTTCACAACAGTTGCCATCGTGTATCATCGCTATGAGAGACTCGCTGTTTCGCAAAATTGTTTTCGCTGTTATTCTGCTTTAAGCAAGAAAAGACGTTGAGAAACGTTTCGAAGACAGTGACTCTATACAAGTACGATAAAGAAAACAAAGAAGAAGCAGAGACGAAAAGTAGCGTTTGGGACTTAAACAATGCCTAAACTAGCTCAAATCCTCCAACAGTCAAGCGGTACGAGGAAGGTGAGATGTGTATCGGTCTTTTTGCTTTTCTGATCATTTCAGAAAACAAATAGATTTCATGTTGCCGTGAGTCTGTTCAGTAATAGATCACAGAAGACGTCAATTAAATGTGATAAGAACATCATTGACACGCTCGCCGGCAACCCGTTTGACACTTCGTTGTTTTTACCAAATTTGACGTCATCTGTGATTTATTGCTGAACAGGCATACAGCAACATGGAATCTGTTTGTTAAGTGGAGGTTGTGAGGTTTGTCCTGGTTGTGATGGCTTTGTTTGTTGTGAGGGTCGTACTGGTTGTTGTAGTCTTGTTGGTTGTGGAGGATGCGAGGGTTCTGGTGGTTGTATTGGTTGTGTTGATTGCGTTTATTGTGGAGGTTGTACTGGTTGCGCTGGTTTTTGTGTTTGTGTTGGTCGTGGACGTGGTGTTAGTTGTGAAGGTAATTATGCTGGTTATGGTCGTTGTGCTGGTTTTGACTGAGGATTGTGCTGATGGATTGTGTTAATTATGAGGGTTGTTTTTCGGTGTGGTGGGTGGAAGGGTTGTGCCGGTTATCAGGGTTGTGGCAGTTGTGCGTGTGGCGCTATATGAATCTTATGCACTTCTTGTAGGATTCATGGATTTTGGTTTCTGTGACTGATACTATAACCTAATCTTTGTTATCCAGTAAAATGTTAGGCAACGTGTTTATGTCTTCTTAAAGTAAAACAAAACAGCCCTAACAGATATATAGGGTTTCTGTTTTTACACTTTTAACCTTGTGCCTTATTTTTTTTGTTGTGTATGTTGTGCCACAACCACAACCTGATAAGTCTATCTAAAATCGTGCCACCTTTGAAACCAATTGCGCCATTCTCTGGATAGAGATTTATCCACTGGATAGCGTTACACACCTATCGTTTGTTTTGGTCGTAGATCACAACGAAGAGTAAGCTTAATTTTACTGGTTCTGCAACCAGCTGCATTGGAATATTTGCGCTACCTTTTAGGTTAAGTTAGTCCCCCACGTGTACCAAAGCTGTGACAATTTTCAACGTTTTTAGCTTCTCTCTACAGCATAATCAATTCGACTTAATTTTTCTCCGAAAGTCGTGGCGTAGAATGCCAGGTCACATCCGAGAATTTAAGAGGCCAGAGCCGCATTGATCAGCGGTTAGGAGCCAAGATGGACGTCAAATTTTGAGCTCCCGCTTCTTCCCCTTTATCTTGAGTTGTTTTTCTACTGTCCTTTTATTGATAATTTTCACTGACATTATGCCAGAGGAGTCAGTTTCTTAGCAACAAAATCAAGATTTGAAGGATAAGTTCGATGCTCTTTCCAAGGAAATAGCGCAGCTGGAGAAAAAAACATTCCACGCAACATCAGTGCCATTATTGACATTGTTAATGTCATACAAAGCAATATGGACCAAAAATTTTTTTCCCTGCGGGATCTTTTTAGACTTAAAAAAAGGCCTTTGATACCGTCGACCATTTGATCTTACATCAAAAACTTGATCATCATGGCATCAGAGGAACTATCAATGACTGGTTTGCCTCGTACCTTCTTGGTCGTTCACAAGTAACTGAAGTAGGTTTTGACTTATCTACCGAATGTATGACCTCATGTGGTGTCCCACAGGGGTCTGTACTTGGTCCTCTGTTATTCTTAATTTATATTAACGATATTCACAACTCTTCAGCGAAATTCTCATTCTTTCTCTTTACTGATGACACGAACTTGCTGTATGCTGACACTAATTTAAGGTCTCTTGAAAAAACCTGCTCAAAGTCTCCGACTGGCTTAATGCAAATAAGTTAACGCTCAATGCTAAAAAGTCAAACTATGTTATCTTCGTCCATATCAACGTAAGTTGAACTACTCGGTTAATTACATAAAGATTGAAACGAGTGAATGTAAAGACCATGTTAAATATCTTGGTGTTCTATTGGACAGCAATTTAAGCTGGAAATTTCGTATTGATAATGTTGCATTAAAAGTAAGCAGAACTTTTGGTGTTGTTGCCCGTCTTAGGCACTTCGTCCCACGCACTACCCTTTTAACTATTATTTTTATTTTATTTTATTATTTTGCCACACAGAATAAATTACAAGTAGAATAGAAAAGATAATAAATAGTTAATTAATATTAAATTTAAAATGAGCATACAACTCGGAAGGAGTGACTGTGGAGGGGAAATCTCCGAGAAGCAGAGCTTATGAGGAATAGAGATTTTCCCCCACAGACAATTTAAATACTAGGCGGCATTTAAAAATAAAGAAAAAAGACGTGTATTTTAAGTATACAAGTGTGCTTAAAAAATATAGATATAAGGTGTAAAGGTATTTAGGTTGTATCTTATCTGACCCTTAAAAATGGTTTGATCACACGCTTGAATATATTAAAAGTCGAGGCTTTTTTTTTGATGTTGCTCGGTAATAAATTCCATATTCTAGGACCTTGAAACAGGATCGAAAAGTTTTTGATATTTGTTCTACAGATATGAGGTCGGTAAAAGTCAGAGTATCTTGTTGAATATTGATGAATCTAATTTCCAGTTTGAAAGATTTGAGTAAAAGCAATAAGTAAAGCGTCATTATGATATAGGTACATGGAAGAACTTACTTGGAGCGAGTAGATACTAAAAACATCAAGAATTTTCAAATTTGCAAAAAGAGGTTTACTAGAAGCCTTGTAGTCAGCCTTAGAGATCGCCTGGATTGCTCTTTTCTGTAGTAGGAAATTATATAAATTCGTTGCAGGTTGGTGATATAAGTAGAGGCCCAAATTAAATTGCAGTAACATATGGATAAACAAGGGCATAGTATAGTGTAAGAAGAGATTTTGGAGGAAAATAGTATTTAGCTGTATAAAGTAACCCGACAGATTTCGAAATCTTAGCCGCAATAAAAGTAACATGAGTTTTCCACGTAAGCTGCTGATCAATATAAACTCCGAGGAACTTAGTATTATCTACTTGTTCACGTTCACAATTTTCTATAATACTGTAATCTGCCTTGTGAAAGGTAACGTTTTTTGCTTTGGTCTGAAAATCATTAACGTTGATTGATAACTTACCGTATTGGCTTTTAGCCAAGTTGAAACATTGTGGAGCTGGTCGTTAAAGGTCAAATGAACCAAAAAATTGACATATTTTCTTTTGTCGCTTTACCTTCACCAAACACTAAAAAGAACCATCCGAAGTGAGATTTGGGTAAAGATTTTTCTTCCCAAGCCTTTATAGAAAGATAAAAGATCAAAATCCGAGCATTTCCGAAAACTTCACGAAAACGTTTCTGAAATGGCCGCGTGATATACTGGAGACTACGTGACGTCAATGGTGGTCTTTCAGGGCGGAAAAACGTTCTGCGCAAGCTTCTGCGCATCCCTTATCGCCTGCGTTTGTTTGTCTCGTTCTGTGAGAGTTCTGACTGAGACTGAATGAAATACACGAGGTGCGAACGTTTACTCCTTGTAAAGGATTTTTTTGTTGTTTTAGTTGCTGTTGTTGTTTTTTCGTCACTTGAAAATTACTTTGGATTCAGAACAACCAATGTTAGAGTAAAAACAGATCATCCGTCAGTCTGAGGAGGAATAAAACGTTTTGAACATTTCCAAAGAGGTTTGTATTTTTCTGATAACTGTGCATTCGATTTGTGATTTGATTTTGTGTCCAGTTCTTCGCCTTCTTTCGCCAGGCTGAATTAAAACCCGCTTGTGTTATGTTATTAGTAGTTACGGTTAGTTTTTTTACATGCCCAGATTTATTTACCTTTGCAGAACCAGCTTTATCCTTGTCTTATGTCAAAGAACCGTAATGATATAAACGCTTGCGAGTGAACAAACTTGAGCGCTTAAAACTTCCTCGGAACTTTAGAAGACCAGCAAAATTACTCGAGAAGAAAAGACTACTTCGATCATTTTTCTGTTGCTCAAGTAATAATAGTCAGAGTTTTTTTCCTTTAGTTTTTTCACTTTTAATAACATAGTTTTGTTA